TATATATAATATATATATATATATATATATATATATATATATATATATATATACGCGTCATATATCGATTATTGAGAGGCTTATTTAAAACATTATTATCCGTAACGAATTCTAATAAATTTATTGAATAAAAATGTACGATGTATGTAAATTTATTTATGAAAATTTATAAAAATGTACGATCTGTGCTGATCACATATTCGATGATTATGAAACTGATATAATGCAATTAAAAATAGGTTTATATTTTTAGGTCCAGAAAAGTTTTTACCTCCTTTAATCTACCATCGACGATTAGCCCGATGCCTGGCGGCATTTCAAACCATCCTTGGCATCGCGGTGACTTCCTTGTCGTTATGGTTGTTGCTTTGGGCACCACACTTACCTGTCGTGGACAATCCGTATTGGAGTGGTATGCCTGTAAGTGTAATAATTTCACACGGCGCATTCCTCCATTATAACGATGTAAAAATAATATCGGAACGTATTAATCTTCACTTATCTAACAAGCTAAATCCTTGTTAGAATAGTTGCACTAACATATAACTGCTACTACTTACATATCCATTATAAAATGATATGATCATGCTTTTTTTAATATTTAAAAATATGAGTATTATCGTTTTTTATAAATAATATAATATCTAATTCTATTTAAAATAACACAATAATTATAAATGAAAGCTATTATTTATTGAGGCTAATGGTTACTTATTAGCAGTTGCATTAACTTTAATAGCTTTTGATGCTTTTATATATATATATCTTTTGTAAAAGCTTCAAAGCTTAAATCTTAATTAACTAAAGGTAAGTATGTAATAATAATAATAATAATAAAATTTATTTTTTTAACAAAAAGATTTCATTAACGATATTTTTCAATTTTTTTTTATGCAATGTATTGTGTAAGATAAAACGAAATTATATACATAATTACTAACACGTAAGTATGCGTATTAATACTTGTACATTGTCATATCTTTTTGCAATATTTACTTGATTTAATGACCTTATCTTGGTATCTCTAGCTCTTAATGTCCGGATGCTTCGGAATATGTCTTCTATACTGCTTTAAGAAAGAATATCCGGATTTGAATCCTGGATTTTGTCTTTCTGCGACGAAGGTACGTAAGAATTCTGACTCATTATAGAGATTTCTTAGAGAAACTTTCAAGGTCAAGGTCGTCTTATTACTCAGTTCCTTTAATGATAATTTCTTACATTAATGTAGTATGACATACAATATATGTTTTTATATTATTATATAATATTATTTTATTGTATAATATATATTTCTATATCAAAACAATCAATTTGAGATATGTTAATTAAAATATTTCAATTTTATCAATTTTAATATAAATTTTATTTTTATTTATTAAATTTATTTAATTTCATTTTTGATATAATAATTGTATAATTATTTAAAAAATTATTACGTACTTTTATTCTCAATGTTTTATTGTGTTTACATTATGTTTTCTTACAATGAATAGCTAGTTAGCGTGTTTTTGGCGATTCTGGCAACGATTGCGTGCGTGAGCGCATGTATATTCTCCGCGATGCACTTGTCACGTCTCATGAGACTGGAATGTACTCCGGCACGAGTATTGAATGCCACGTGTGTATGCAGGCCACGCGGTGAGCCGTCTGATTCACTCGAAGGTGTAGTCAGGTATGCTGAAAAATCGATCTTGAATTGACAAAATTATATTTTTCAAAATACCTGAAAAATCAATAAAGTCTAAACATTGCAATATGTCATATCTCTGAACGCTATTTTTTTATAAGAAGTATTTTATGTTTCTCATTTATCGAGAAATCTAAGGAACTGAAATAAGAATTTGAAATTATTAAATAAATTTTTTTTGAAAAATAATATATTATCTATATTGCTAATAAATTTAAAAATGTATCGATATATGTAAAGTGATATTTTCTATATTTTACTAGATACATGGACCTTAATTGTCCCGAAGTAGAAAATATTCTGACGATTCTCCTTATCTTTTCGTGCACTTGTAATGGACTAGGCGCCTTGGTGGCGGGATGGTATAGTTATCTCCATTGGAGCACACGATACAAAAGGCCAAAATACACACAAGTTAGGACTAATACTGTTTCCACAAACAATAAATTTAACAATAGACCGATCTACAAATTGAATCTAGAGGAACGATGACGCTTACAAACGTTATAATGATCGAAATACTTCCATTTTGTCGTGATCCATCAACTTCCATATGGGTAATTACTATTGGAGTGATCAATTATACATATATACATGTATATATACATGTATACAAAGAAATCTAAACAATTACAAATAAATCTTATTTTTTACTGATTTATTAACAAACGGATTAATCTTGATAAACGCAAAATGACAGAAACGATTCATGAAAACATTTTGACAAAAAAAAGAAAATTATAATTACAAAGATATGAAAAATATTTTTTTTACAAGACAGAACTATTATACTAGTAAATTATACTATTAAACTGACAACAATGTTGCAGTTTTAATAATAAAAAAACGAAAGCTTGATACAAATGTATGTATTTATTATTAATTATTGACATAATAATATTATACTACTGTAATATTAAAAATATTATTAAAATACTATATATATGGATCACTATACATTAGACTTATATCTTAGGACTCGTTAATTAACGCTCACTTTTTTATTACATGGAGGCTCAGTATTCATTTAAATATAATGTGTATTTATGTGTGTGTGCGATTGATAATATGTTTATCTTCCAATGTGAAAGAAGTTTGCGGAAACGAATGAAAAACTCTTTATTAATTTACTTATATTAGGATTAAGATTTATAAGTGAATTTAGAATACCTCAAAAGACTACTAAAATAATGTATATTAAAAAAATATTTGCGTTTACTTTTTATACATTAAATGTATTTATATAAAATAATAATGAAATAAGAATTGTCATCAATTAAAATAAATCTGGCGAATAAATTTAGTACTAAATACTTGGTACTACAAATTTAATATTTGTATACATGTTATTTTGCATACATGTTATTCTTATTGCAACATCTTATCCCACAATCGCTTGAATTAATAAAATAATGCATTTAAATATTTAATATTAATAATGCAAAAGAATGATATGAAAAGAAAAGAATATCACACATATGCGACAATTCTATTTCTATGTTTCTATTATTAATGGATTTTTTGTACTACAATATTGTATTTATATTTACAATTTCATTCATATACTCATAAATTGATCAATATGTTTTTGTATACATTATTTCAAATTAATAAAAACATATTTTTAATACTAATAAAAATATTAATAAAAATTAAATATTTGTATTAAATATTTATTAATTAAATATTTGTAATATTTGTTTCTTTTAAAGAAATCAACTAATCTTAATCAATAATATAATCTTCCGTCTCAATACATTACATATAAATTTGAAAAATCTAAAAACAACATATGAATTTTTATTTAATAAGCACGTCATTCTTGCGATTGATGCAATAAATTGAAAGCGGAATATGACAGCTTAAGCAACTGTAAAAAATGTAGATATATTTAAAATTATTTGTTAAAATTTGCAAAGTATTCAATTTTTATCTTAATTAATTAATACTGACAGCTATAAAAAAGTCAAGATTCATCCTTTTGCAGTTATCGCTAAATTCCAATCAGTCCACATTATAAATATTATTTGTCAAGTGTAAATTCTATAAATAAATACATGGCAAAATATTGCATATTATAAAAAGGAAATACGTATCATATATTCATTTCAATTTTATAAATTAATTCTATCTTGTTATCTATATTTAATAGCAAAGATGATTTGTTTTAAACAAGAAGCATATATATTTTTAGTTTGATTTCATTTCCAAACCAACAATAAATGAAGATCTGTGCTAACATGCAACCTGTATATAACATCAATGGAATAAATTTCAAATAGTCCGATGCCATAGCTATACAATATAAATTAGAACCTACTACCATTAAGCTCACCGCGAATTGCATGGCAATTATTTTTGCAAACAAGTTATTCACCGTATGCATATCTATCAATTAAATAGGAGATTTTTAATCAACTTTTTCAATTGTTTAAACTATTTATAAATATTAAACAATTTTATATTATTTTAATAAAAAAATTAAAAAATTAAAAAGTTCTGCATCGCTTCTGTAAAAATTATTATTAGAAATGATATTTTGTATTCATACAATTTAAATCAGAAAGAAATCATTGTTTTAAGATACTAACTCAAATATTAGAATGTGATGATTAATACAATCGCGTAGAATATTTTTATCCTGAGCGATTTTTTTCAATCGGTATTCCAATAGTTCGATTTGACAACATATATGCAATAAAAGTCCGCAAACTAAGTTCTCGCAAGCGACATTTATTAAATCAGAGGTTGACATGTCTATCATCTGGTTTATGTATACGAAAATAAATGTAGCAGAGGTTGAATAATCGAAGGGTATCCATGCTTTATATGTCAAGTTTCCTTTTCTGAAGTCCATGAAGATAGACGATACAATTACTGAAACAACCGCTGTACCCACGAGAGTTAAATACCGCAACGTATTATTCCTATAAAATAATCATGAAACTTACTAATATACTATTATTACTTATACTATTTGTATGTAAATTTTTCTCTTTTTTGCTACTTTTTTTAGTTTGTTATAATTTGTTTTTAATTAAACACTATTAATTTACAAATGTAAATATAAAGCGTGTCTTATAAATTGAAAAATACATTTAAAAACATATTTAAAATTGAGTTAAGTATATAATATATAACATATTTTCACGTTATTAAATAATATTAGAAATATATATTTATATATA